CCGCGGGGCCCCCCCGGGGGGCCGGCGCGGGCCTGGTAACCTGCTCCCCGCGTGTTTGTAAATGAGGCGGCGGGCAGCCCCTCAGCTATGGGTGATGTCCGCGGCCTGAGGGGTGACAGCAGCGCGGGAGAGGACAGGGGCAGAGGCCGGCGCCTCCGCGGGCGCCTATTGTTATCGGGGCTGGAGGAAATGTCCGCGGGGACTCGCCGCTGCTGCCTGCCCCGGGCCGGGGTGTCCGCTAACACCGTTTTCGTCAGATAACTCGTTTCCAGCCCGCGAGCCGGGGCTGCAGCGGGGGGCGGCTTCCCGGGGGATGATTTCCGAGCTGGGGCTGCGGCTTGGAGCCCCACTTGCCCCTTCTTGGGGGGTCCTTGTAGAGCTGCTGAGGTCACCCAAGTCTTGATGGCCTCCACTGCCACGGATCTGAGAGCCCTTTGTTAGGGCTTTTTGGAGGATGCTGAGATAGGGGAGCAAATCTGACCTGGGGACCCGGCATGGGGGGGAAGGTGCACAGGCCTCCCAGGCCGGGTGTCGGGGGGCTGATCGGCACAATGACTGAGTCTGGTACAAACGGAGAGGGTCTCTGGGCAGGGGAGAGCTCATTTACATGGATATTAAATGGGGGGTCCCCGCGGGAGTTTCAGAGACTCTGCACTTGCAGAGAGCTCAGGGATAAATGTGGCCTCTCCGGCCTCCTGCCAAGGCCTAGGCCCCTATCTGCCCGTCCCCACCGCCCCCGAAGTGTGCCCAGCAGGCCTGCGCCTGCCCCCGCCCGCCAGGTCCCTCTGACGGCGTGTGCGTGGGGAGGGCTCGAGCCCAGCACTTCGGCCCCATCATCTCTTCTGCATCACGCTGGCGCCGCCCTCGCCTCACTTCTGTTCATTCTTGCGCCTTTCCACTCTCCTCTCTTAGGGGAGGGGGCAGAAAGGAAGACTCTGCCGGCCTCCGCAGGTCTGGGTAGCAGAGGCGCCCCCACGCCCCCCGCCCGGAGGTGTGAGCTGCCACGGCTTCCTCAGCCCGGTGGCTGCGTGTTCCGTGGCTAAGGCAGCAGACAGCTGGTGTCCCCAGGCCAGGCCAGGCCGCCGCCGCCACCCTGGTCCTGGCGAGAAAGGTGACCTTGTGCCAGCCCTCTGCAGGTCTCCAGTTCTCGGGTATAGCAGCAGTCCAGTTGCTGTCCCCTCCGGCTCCGGCTCCGGCTCCGAAAGCCGCCGGGCAGTTTTCCTAGGACGGAAGTCGGTCCCCAGCCTTCCTGACTCCGCAGGCTGCTGGGCAAGATGCGTGGAGGTCGGGTCCCCTCTGCAGGCCCCCGAAACGGCGCCTCCCTGTCGTCTTTCTTCTTTGCTGCTAGCAGCCCAGGAAATGAGAAGAAATAAAATTCCATCCCAAAGATAATGCCGGGCATATTTCATTTGGTTATAAGATTGCTTTATGGTGAACATTACTAATGCAGTATTTTTTTATGGCTTTTCTGTGTATAATCGTCATAACCGGATTCATACCTTTATGGTTTTCTTTTTCTGCTTTCCTTTGCCACTTTTTTACGATGCCCTGGGTCCAGTTCTTCGGCTGTCTTTTAAAATTTTTTCTCAAGAGGATTAATCAAGCTAACAAGCGTTCAGGGTGCCCAGGGAAAATGAGGCTGCCTTGTCCACATACACATTCGTGTGCCTGGAGAGGAGCAGGGTTGCTGGGAGAAGAGGCAAATTCCGCTGGGAGCGGGCTGCCGAGCAGTGAGGGCCAGATCCCCGGGCCGGCCAGGCTTCACCAGGGAGTTTGGAGAAACTTCCGGGCCGTCTCCATTTCTTGGTGCTGGGGGGGAGGGGGGAGCTGGGCTTGATGGAATGTTTTTCCCTTCTCAAAGTTTAGAAAAGAGCGTGGATGTGATTAAAATATTATAACCTTATGATATTCTGAAGTGCATAAATTTTACATATCAGCCACAGAGAGTTTAGACATCCATTAGAGCCTCTGACAGCTTGACTTATCTAAATGTGCTATCATTTAACAATGTGTCAAAATTCCTCTTTCTATAGATGACAGCAGTAAATAAGCTATCAGCCGGGTTGGCGGAATCCTAACTTTGGAAACTTTGCAATAATAAAATCGCTGCCGGGTGGGAGCGAGAGTGGCCTGGGCTTGGTGTGGCCCGGGCCTTGGAGGTGGGCTGGCTTCAGGTGTGAGCCCCGAGGGGAGGGGACGGGAGGACAGGCGGGAGGAAGAGGCCGAGAGGGAGGGAAGGGCTTTCCCACCGCAGCAGCAGCCCAGTAACTGAGGCCCATTGGCAGGCCCCCCCAGCTGACCCCTGTCCCCTTGGGTGACCCCATCCCATCTGCCGCTCCCATTCCTCAGAACCCACACCCTGTGGGCCTTTTCTGCAGGAGAAGCTAGAAACAGGTGTTGAGAATTTATTTAAAGAACCCAGCAGTCTTTTCTGGGCATCCCAAAATTCTGGTTTCTCAACTCGACAGAAATTGCTTCCCCAAGATGGGCTCTGTCTTTGAGAGCGAGAAGAAAAAACGAGCAAAGCCCTGTCCCTGACCGCTTTTCCTGTTGGAGGTCTCGAAGTTTTCTTTTTATTAATACCTGAATTCACTATAGAAAACTGAGAAACCGAGGACACGCCGAAAGGAGAAAAATCAGCCGCTCGGCGGGTTCCGATGAGAGCAGTGCTATTTTGACCAGAGGGAACAGCTTTTCTGATGATGGTGATGAATTTCCCTTTTTTCTTTCTTTTTAAATTTTTTTTTGAACGTCTTATTTTTTTAGCTCTCCTATTAGAAAAAGGATTCTATCTTCCAACTTGACATTCTGTGGTGGTAACCTTTTTTCCAGCAGATGGGATTTTAAACGTGAGCACCTTGACTGGTGCTAAATTTGGTTCTGGATGGTGGTGGACGAGGCTGTGCAGAGACTGGTTTTCTACGCAGCTTTCTGCAAAGGGCTGACTGCGCTGAGGCTTCCCGGGCACCTCTTTCTGAGGCCCAGCCTGGCAGAGGTGGGGCGTGGGAAGAAGGGGCAAGATGCTGGCCGCCCCTTTGTTCCTGCCTGTGGAATTCAGGGCCCAGTCTTCTGTTTGATTTTTCTCTCCAGGGGTGCTCTTTATTTATGCCAGGGGCTTCTGTTGCAGGTGTCTGAGCCTCCGGAGGTAGCTGGCAGAGCGGAAGGGCCTGGGGAACGCTGCTCTGTGTATTCCTGGGTGAGTCCCCCCCACACCCCGAGTCATCCATTTCTTAATTGATCCCACAGGCCGGTGTTGTCCATCTGCTGTCTGTGCTGGGCTGTTGCAAAGGTGAAGGATGCTGACATACTCTGTGCGCCTGTGAAATAAAGGCATTGTCTTCTAGTGACCTTGGGGTCCTTCAGATGTGTGGGTGGGGGAGTGGCAGTTGACCTTTTCAAGCAGATTTTTAAGATAAGCAATTATGTCTGCAGTGGAGTTCTTGAGTTCAAAGCCTGGGTGATTCCTTCAGAGAGCGGCCTGTATGTGGGTGTGGAGCATTTGTTCCTATCATACGCGTGTTGGAGTCCAAGGACCTTTCCCGGGTGGCAGAGCTGCGGCTGCCCCACCCCCTCTCTGGCTTCAGCTGCCCCCTCTCCCCCTGCTCGTTGTCCCCCAGCCACAGTGGTCTCTGTGTCCTGGACGTCTTGGGGCACATTTCCACCTCAGGGCCTTTGCACTTGCAGTTCTCTGGTCTGGAGCTGTTTCCCCTCAGATCTTTTCACAGCGCTCTCCTGTTTTCATTCAGTGTCAGTCCTGATGTCAAGACCAGTCAGCCCCAAGAAGACTAAAGAAGCTTCTGGGCTCCCTTTCTCCTTTAATATGCAAATATGACTCCACTTCTCTTAGAACGACGTCTCCCTGGAGTTCTGACCTCTTCACCTTCTCCGGTGAGGATTCTCTCTGGGAAACGTTGGTCTACCAGCAGGGGTGTCCCGCATTTTCTGTTCAGGATCAGATAATAATATACTTCAGGCTTGCAGACCATATGGTTTCTGTTGCCCTGCCACTGAAGCATGGAAGGAGGCAATTCAATGAACGGGCATGGTTGTGTTCCAGCGAGTGCAGGGCCCCTTGGCCAGGAGGGCCATGCCCGCTCCGTTTGGCCAAGAACTTTCCACTTTTTCCTTTGCCTCCCTCAGGCCCCTCCCTGCAGCCCTGCCTGGCACAGCCTAGCTGTGTGACTTTGGGGGGCCCCTCCACCCCTCTGAGCCTGACTTCCTCGTTTTTAAAGGGAACTAGTAATAGTTCCACCTGTTACTGGTTTTTGAAAATCACTGCCCGGTGAGCATGCAGGTGGGGAGCACTGTGCCTGGCTGGCTCCTGCTCCCATTGCTGGTGTTTGCAGAGTGAGAGAGGGCTGAGGAAACCAAACAAACAACCGCTCCTGGGACTGGCTGGCCTTGTGGGCTGTTTCGTAGACTTCTGGGCATGTTCTTTTTTTCTCTTTTGGCCCCCTGGACTTTCCAATATTGAATATCACTAATATTCAATGTAATGGTGTATATTTCGGGAGCTCTGGTCACAGAGGGTGCAGACGCTATGTCTGGCCCACGATGCGTCTGTCTAGATGAGCGCAGTCCTTAAAAACTCTTCAGCGAAAGGGCTGGTATCTTAAACCTGGCCAGCACGGCCTTGGGAACCCTGTGTCCTGTGTCCCTGGCCTGTCAAGCCGGCCACCAGGGCGAGGAGTGGAGGACCGGGAAGGGCAGGCCAGCAGAGGGAACAGCCAGTGGGAAGGACCCGGGTGAGGGTCTGGGCCACTGCTGGAGTCCGGAGTGGGTGGCCAGGAAGGCAGCTGTCATGGCCTCTGGCCACTTTGTCAAGTGCTTGATCTCCAAAGAGGCGGGGATCAGCTCCATGACAGTGGACGGTGCCCGGAGCCTGGGCCGCCGCTGCTCAGGAACCAGTCACCTCCAAGGCAGGGCTGGCCCCCCTCCTTCCCTCCGATCCCTCTCACCCCCCCACCCCACTTGAGTTCAGCTAAATGAAACAGCAATTCCAGGATACACATTTGTCATTAAAAAGAAAGAAAGGAAGAAAAAAATCAATCCTTTGGCCTCTTCGGCCGCGCCGGTCTCTGCCGGGGACGCGCAGAGCTTAGCAGTGCTTAAGACTCTCTGCGCCGCCGTCGCTCAGCGTGGACGGGGCGAATGGCTCCCCGGGAACCTCTGCGCTCGGTCACTGTCGCCCAGCCAAACGTGGGTGCCCCGGACAGGGAGACCGCAGGGGTCATGCGGCCCCCTGATGGAGGACAGATGCCCCTACCCTGCTGGGCCCCTACTCTGGCGCCTGTGGAGTCCCCGGGGCCCCCAGGATCTGAGGGGGGGCATTTAGTGTGGACTCTGAACCCAGGCAGTCTGGCTCAAGGCCCAGCCCTGCCACTTACCAGCTGTGTCCCCTTGAGAAGTTACTTTACCTCTCCGAGCCTCTGTTCCTCCTGCGTAAATGGGGGTGGTGGCAGCATGCACCTCCTTAAGGACGGAATGAGTTAGTGTGCGTGGAGTGCTGAGATCTGTGCCAGCGCCCAGATGTGCTATATAATGTTGACAGTAATAGTAATTGCTATTGTCTTTAATTCTGGAAATGCATATTCACCACTCAACAGCATAATTAATAACCCTATACATAATAATAAGCACCGTAAATAATAATTTATAGGGGAGTTAGCTTGCTGAACTAGGAAGGCAAAGCCTCACCTCTCCCTGAACTTGAAGACTGGGGAAGGCAGAGGTACTTGGGCTGGGTTGTGCATGGGCTGGGTTGTCACACCTGGGACTCCGGTCTCGGCGTGTGGCAAGACAGCTGTCAGGTCTGACACTTCACAGCCGCCTCGCGGAGGAAGTGACCCGTCAGCTGGAGCCCCAAGGACACGGTTGGGAAAAGCATGCCCACAGAGGGAATGGAGGTGCTAAGAGCTTGAGCTGGGAGGAGGAAGAGTGCAAGCAAGGAACTAAAGAAGGCGGCGGGGGCTGCTTCTGGGTGGGCCTGGAATGAGCCCCGTCCACTCTTGCTGTCTGTCACTTGGAGGGGGATGAAATGAGCTGCCGCTTAGCACATGCGTGGTCTCAGCACACAGCCTCCACGGGCACTTTGTAAACTGTCAAGCACTAGGAAAGCCTTGGGTACTGCGTTTTATTTTTAACAAGATGTTCAGCCCAATTCTTGATGTGTTGCAGAATGCCTTTCCCTGTCTCCCGTGTGTATCTCGTGACCCTGCCGGGGCAGCGGGGATTCTGTGCCCCACCCTGCTCTGTCCCGCCTGCCTGCGTGTCCTTGGGTGAGCTGTTTGCCCTCCCTGAGACGGGGCTTCCTCATCTGCAGAGCAGATACAGTAGTGGCGCCTCTCGCTGGTGTCCCCGCAGCCTCTGGCCACCGGGCGCGCGGGGGAGGGGGGGGTGGCCCCAGGCCCCCCGCAGGAATGAGCTGGGGCAGAGCTGCGCTTGGCACGCCTCTGCCGACCCTGGATGCGCCCCCAGCTGCCCGCGTCCTGCTCCCTTCCGCGCTCTGGCTCCCTTCCTAGGCAAAGGCACTGACCCGCCAACCCCGCTGATAGACCCCACCTCGGTGTCCGCTTGACGAAGGTGCACGCTCTCCTACAGGTTCAGGCCCGGCTCTGCCTCTGGCACTCGGCCGGCGGTGGCTTCGCTGCTGTATCTTAGAGCAGCCGGGAAGCGCTCGCTCAGCTGGTTCCTGTGGCCGCTTACACTTGACCCATGGGCCCTGCGGGATGAGGCCTCCCCTTTACCAGCCCTGCCCCATTATCTCTTGCAGGGTTTGCGCTCTTCAAACCATGCCAGCCTCACATATGCCAAGCATGTGCCAACCTCAGGGCCTTTGCAGTCATTCCAGCTACTTGGAACAGCCTGTCTTTCTCTGTCACGCAGCCCTCGGCTTCATGTCCCCCCTTGCCCCTTACCCAGCTTTACCCTGAGATGGCGTGTATTGATTTGTTTACCATCTGCGCCGGAGGGCAGGGGCATCATAGCGCCTGGATATTTGAATGATGGAGCAGATGAATGCCACCGGAGAGGAGAGGGCGGCAGCTGCCTGGACGCCACCCTGGGGGACAGCCCTGGGGCACCCAGCTCTTCCCAAACCCGGCTGCTTCACCCTTTCCTGGCTGTTCAGTTACTTGGCTCCACACCTGAGAATTGGGCCTGAGCCTCAGGCCGGCAGCGGATGGGTGTTTATCTTTAGCTCAGTCAGTCTCGCTTTGGAAACTGGTGACCCCAATTCCAGCCTGGGAGGTGGCTCCCTTCCTAATTAATAAATCCATTAATTAATTGCCGCCGGCCTGTGGACCCTGAGCGATGGTTTGGTGGCCTCAGCCTGCTTAAAACAGGTCCCCGCAGTCTTGGGGGACACAGCCAGTTCATGCTTTTGGACCCAGATGACATCAGTCCCCTGGTGCTGGGTCATGGGCTCCCCTGGCCAGCCCGGCGGGCATCAGAAAGGGACCAAGGTTCTCTGGCTGTGAGTCCAGCGTGGAGGGACCTCTCCTCAGCCTTCCTCTTGACGCCCTTTGGCCATGCAGGGGCCAGGATGTAAATGCTCCCTCTCCTTCTGTACGGAGGGTCCCTGCCCGGCCTCGGGGATTCTGTCTTAGACTGAGCTTCCTTGAATGTGGACTCAGGTCCTACCTCCACTCGGTGCCTGCACCCAGCACCTGCCGGGCGTCCCCTGTCGCGGGGTGCGGGGAGCCTGTGGTGGGCAACACCCCAAACCCCTGCCCTCTCTGGGCTTCTGATTTGTGATCGTTTGGAGGAAGGACTTTTCATCAAGGGTGTGAGAAGAGCGACAGCCCAGTGTAGGCACAGCCTAGGGATGGGCACCCCGAAAACCTCTCCTGGATGGGGACTTACTGGCCGTCTTAACATATTATTGTTGGTGGGGCGTTTCCTGTTGAGGTCCTGTTGCATTTCCGTGTGACTGGTAGCCTTGGGCAACACCAGACCTTTCTAAGCCTCAGCACCTCATCTGTAAAGTGGGGATCACGCACAGCCTCTGCCCCGTGCAGACACGGGGTGGGGCCCAGAGGTGAGGCCAGGGCCCGGAGCAGGGCCACCGCACGGAGCAAGAGGGCCAGCCTTACCTGTCCTGTTTCTGCCGCCCCGTCGTCCTGCGCCGTTCACCTCCAAGGTTCACAGAAGGGCCCAGACCTCGGGAGCCTGGCGATTTGTTTGCAGCCTTGGCTG